CTGTTTGTAGCTTTAACCATTTTAAATCTTTAAATTTTTAATCTAAATTTTGTCTCTTTAAAAGTTCTTAAATACAACGGAATCTCGATTATCCGGAGGAAGCAGTGTGGCATGGATGTTCGGACAATAGAATAGTCGCATTGCCAGATTTCATTTTTATTGATCTGCGCGGTAAATCGTTTGGACAATAGATGATTGCAAGATCGGATGATCGAAGTTACACTGATGAAAAATCAAGTAAAAAATTAAAGACCAAGACTTCGGAAATCGGAATATTGAAAATTAAACGATCGAGGACAGGAAAATTGGCGATCAGAAAAATCGAGAGATAGAGAACATTGAAAGATAGACTAATAAAAAGATAAGATAAGAAAAATTAAGGAACAGAGAGATCGAAAGATGAATACATATAGAAGGATAAAAAATGGATAAATAAGCAAATCGATGGGGAAAGGAATCGTGGCCGGAAAAATCGAGTAACAGAGAAATCGCGAAGCTTCGACATCGGACCAGAAAAGTCGTTTCAAGAAAAGTAGGAGCCGATGCCGAGCGTTCCACGCGCGACGGCCGCGTCTCGACTTTACTCCCGAGGAACGCTCGGTGGTATCGAAGCGCGTCTTTGGATGTCGAGAGCTCTCCCGCCGTGTCCCCTCCTCTGAACTCGGCACCGTGATCCTGAACCTTGACTCTTCATTAATCACCCCGCGGTATCAATGACTGACTGAGTGACTGACGCCAGCCAGAAAGAGAGAGAAAGAGAGAGAGAAAGCGAGCGAGAAGGAGAGAGAGAAAGAGAGAGAGAGAGAGAGAGAGAGAGATGTATTATGTATTTACAGCGTTCGCGCGAAACGCTCGCGCTTTCCGCCGCGAGTTTTCCAGGCGGATCCGGACGGCGCGGCGGCGACGGCTCGAGGAAAGGACCCGACCGGAATTTTATACCGTACGGTTCTCAATGAAAATTCCTCCATTCCGGATTACATGCTGGGGCGGGTTTCTTGCCTCGGTGTCCCGCGAACCAAGGGAGAGAATCCATTAAGCATGGGGCTCCATAGCGGTGGATGGTAACTACGGTTTCGGTTGGGGTCATCGTTTGATAGCTTTGGAAGCCTTGTCGGGCTTTATTGGATTTAGATACTGTGGATTTTTTTACACTATTCGCGACACCGATTAATCGTTCCGAGATTTCAAACGGTGTTCCTTCGCTAGACCATACTGCTTGATCGAGTATGGTTCTCTCTATTTTAAAGTGAGATCCATTTTTCGAGTAGATCGAAAATTTGGGACTGTTCGAGTGCACCGGTCTTGTAGATGCAACAGAGATATTGCTTTGAGGATTTCTTTAGCCGAACCTTGCGCTGCATTCCTGATCAGCTTCTTATACGTTATGCTCGTAGAGTCTACCATGACAGTGCATACCTAAAGCACTTTTCGAAGAGTACTTGGTGCGGTAAGATCTCTTTTGAATCGACAGAAAACTTAGAACATTTTGAGTCCGCAGTTCTCGAAGAGACAATAGAAATATTAGTTGAGCTATTTACTTTTTATCCAAACCTAGGGGCGTGTCTCTAATCAGCTACTCAAAGACTATTCTTGTGGAGTCTACCGTCAGAATGTATACAGCAATGTCTCCCTTACTGACGCTCAGATTGTTCACTAAATCGGATAATTTGGGAAGAGGAGATACGATTATTCGAGCCTTGCGGCTCGTTTTTAAAATTGTGGACAATTTATAACTATAAAAATAAACCGCAAGGCTCGGATAATCGTAACTCCTCTTCCCAAATTGTCCATTTTTGTGGTCAATCTGAGCGTCAATTAGAGAGACATTACTGTATCTAGAATACCTTTTAAAGAGTCTGCAGGTTTCGTAAACGCAATAAAAGTGTCCCCTTCAGTATTCATTCGAACTGCATCCCCAAAATCGCCATCCCCTCAAAAACCTCGTCCACTTACAACGGCAATCTCAATCGCATCCTACCAACTGATAAAAACTGCAGAAGATCGGGGCCCAATAACAGTCGAAAACTATCATTACTCCAGCAGAAGGAAGTGTATCGGCAACGTCCCCATCAGGTTCTCGTTTGTCCGACCGTCTCTGGCGGACAACGGTAGTGGCAATTTCGCCGTGCAACCGGTACAGTCCTCCATCTGTGCTCCAAATCACGGACGGCAATCACCGATTCACGATTACGCGTGGAAGCCGGCGGATCCGGCGAAACGCAAAGAATCGATAATTCAACGGTGCCCCGAAGTCGGTTCACCGATCGTTCGGTGAGGTCTATCGTTACGATCTGGACATCGAAAGTCACGGTCGCCTTGGCGAGACGCTAGTCGAAAGAATCGGCGGAAGAGAGAGAAGAAGGGGGGGAGGGAGCGAGTGAGAGAGATCGAAGGAGAGTTGGCTCTCGCTCTCTGGACCGATCGAATCTGCGACGTCATCGTCGGTAGCATGGTGAATCACGGTAGAAAAGAGAGTCTTGCTCGCGAGGATCGTGACTTGCGTCCGGGCCTTGTCTTCTCTTGTCTCCTTGTTACACGACTCCTGTCCGTTTCGGTAGTTTTCGAGGGTGTGAGGCTGCTTTATCACAAGCGACCCCCCGCTGTTGTCACGCGATCTTATCGGCACGCCTCGATCCTCGATCCCGGTCGCTCACGAACCACACGATCACCGATCCCGGATCGATCCTGCGGATCCTCTGTGCTCCGAGGCGCGCCGAGCCTCCTTTTTAATTGAATATCGGCGGATTCGATCCCTCTTCTACACTCTCGCAAGTTTCAATACGTATTCGTGTAGAAACGATACTCTCGAGAACAAGATCATTTTCTTCTCTCCTTTCTCAAATTTTTATTTTGATCTGTCTACAAATGATACTCTGGAATCAATTGAATTTCTCTTCTCTAGTTTGAATTTTTACTTCAACGTGTCTGGAATAAATTAATTCTGCTTCCTCTTCTTTACAAGTTTTATTTGGATTTGCCTAGAAAAGATGTTCTGAAACAATTTAATTCTTTCTTCGTTTCTCTTTGAAATTGTTGTTTGAATTTGTTAAAACACGATGCTCAGGAATAAACTAATTCTTTTTCGATTAAAATTTTTATCTCGATCTGTCTACAAATAATACTTTAGCATGAATTAATTCTATTCTCCGCCCTTTAAAATTTCTATTTGAATTTAGTAACGATACTCCGGAATAAATGAATTTCCTTTCCCCTCTCTAAGATTTTTATTTCAATCTCTCGTACATTGATATTCGCCGGACTCCTAAAGCTTTTTTTATTTCGACACATAAGAAGCGTATATTAATCTGTCATTCGATAAAATAATGTTCGCACGAAGCGTCTAGGCTTCAGGAATCGCTTTTAATCGAGTATAAAACTTTTGTTTTTCGTTCAGCTCTTTTTGGCTGATCTCTAACGAGCGCTAAAATTCTCGTTTCCTTTTTGCTTCGTCCCAGATGAGACGTATCTCCCAGGTTTCTTTCTTTGCAGTAATTTATTATTCATTTTTTCGATAAATTGATACTTACTGAAGTGATTCTGACAAAGCCCCATAGCGCGCAGCCACTTTAATTGAACATAAAACAGATACTTTTTGCATTGTATAATCCTCGGTCTCTATATTCGCGGAATTTTTAATCCCTCTTAACCGCGACAGCGATCTCGCTGGAAGATCGTCTCCCGTCCGATCGAAACCACGAATCTCCCCGTTTCTCGCCAGAAATGAAGATGCTCCGGACAGATCACGATCAGGTGCCCGCTAATCGTCGCGATCTCTCATTAAAATTGGCCAATTATTCCGCGCCGGTTGCAGCTCGTTATCTTTTAATGTCCGTCCTGGTCGGAGCTATTATTTTCTGGCTGCGGTGAAATATAATCATCCGAGGTTTATTATCGGTAATTACGGATAATCCTCCGATCGTCTCGAGGCCCCGATTGAAATTAAGACTCTGTCGAACATGGTAGCCGGCCAATTAAAGAACGATCTTACGCGACCATAACCCGAGACGAGAAGAGACGAGATGAGAAGAGAATCCGCGCGCGCGCGCGCGCACGACTGATAACCCCTCGATGCCCGCGGGCATCGCTCGATCTTTCGACTCCGGATGTTATCGTCGCCCGTGGAATTTCAGCAACCCGTCGTTATCAATAATTGTAAACACATAACAATTATCGGTTTACGAGCCGCCGGCAATTAACACGATTTTTAATGCGTCGTCGATCCTCGTTCCGACCATTAACGAGCAATTCATAAAGCGTTATCGCGCGCCAGAAAAACTGTCTCGTTATCTCGTAGTGCGCAACATTTCTTGTAATTGAAACGACGACAACGTGGCCCGCGCTCGGCGCCATACACGGCCGGGAAACGCTCCGCTATTGCCGTGTAAACAATGAATAAATTTCGTCTTACGATGATCGATGCCACAACGATTTCGATGTAACAACTTCGCGCGAGCGTGCTCGCGTACGAAGAAATTGATTCGATCGTTTCCTGCGAAAACGTTTCTATGATTTCGGCGACTTTGAAACGAGAGCCACGAAACCGGTCGTTCCGACCAACGCAACGAAGGATTAAGCTAAAAAACAGGCACGAACGAAATACAGGTCAAATTCGAAGGTGTAGCTCTAATTAACGCTTGTGAAACGTTTCTTCAAAATCGACCCGTGTATCAGCCATCAGGGGTATCCTTGTGAAGGCGTTGTTCGCTGAAAAGTACTAAAGATAATTGGCTTAGCGTAATCGAGCTTCGATTACCGGCAAGGCCGCGACATTCTTATTTTAACACTGTGTTATTGTCTTCGAGCTTGCGGAGATAGCTGATTCGGTCGTAAAGTCGCGTCGCGTCGACTGTCGACCGTCGATTTTGTTCGGAGCCGATGTTCAACTTCGATTCGTTCGAAAACTACACATTAATTAATAAACGGAAGCGTCGTTCGTGCGTCGGAACGCGAACGATTGAAATTGCAGCAGAGTTGGGCACGAGGAAATGATTGGCCAGCCGTGTGATTCTGTACGTCATACCATTTAATAATTACAATTTAAATTATATAATTATACGACCTTACGCGTACGGTGCTCTAGGTTACGTAGATGTAATAAGTAGGTATTTTAGTTAGACTATTACGTATATTACATGGAATGAAGTAACATTTGAGTTTGACGCTACACGAACGTAATACTTGAGCTTAATTTAAAGTGGAGAACGCATCCTTCGCACCTGACGAGTAAAACAGCTATTTTCATCATTTCGCGTATTGAGAGACCCGGCCCTATCCGTTCTCCGTCGATCCGATCGATCGAGACCGAAGGATAATCGTCCGCGGCACATCTCGATCGCCACCACGCGTATGTAATGTGTGTGCTTGTGTATGCGTGCGCGCGCGCGTTTTGTTTGTAAGTGTGCGTGTGGTGTGTGTGTGGTGTGTGTGAACGTGTCTCTCATTAATTCCCCTCGCAAATGGAACAAGGAAACACCCGAAATTCGCATTCATAGGTACGGAACGTGTTGTATACGACACGCGGCGTGAACAACAAAAAAAAATAATAATAATAACGAAACAAATAAAATACAAATATTAACACTGGACCAAGTCATTAGCAACAGGCTCACTCTCAATAGAATAATAGCGATAATATCAATAATTTTTTTCAATGATCATCGTAATAATATTAATAATAATAATATAATAATAATAATATTATAATAATAATAATTAGAATCCTCACTATTCTTTTATTTAAATATCCCTACAGGCGTGCCAGGCGTTAACGAAGGAACAGCCGAACGTAGACGAGCGACGACAGCTACGCATTCTCCTTCAATTGCATCGGACATATCACACATGAAACGAGCGAATCCAATTTTTTTTTTCTTTTCACTATTTCCCATTATCGGTCGGCTGAAGAACGAGAAAAATAATTCGTGGAAGCCGGGGCTCGTTCGTTAGCGCCTCGCACGATAATAACGTCATTCAATATCGTGTTGTCGTATATTCAATAGCTATGTACATTTTTCAACATTAGCCTAGTCCTTAAAATCTCTCTTTCCGCCTTGTCCGTCTTTCGCCTCGCGATATCTCGTCACTCTTTTTCTCTCTCTCTCTCTCTCTCTCTCTCTCTCTCTCACTCCCATCCCTTTCTCTCTCTCCCTTTCTCTCGGTCTCTCTCGCGCTCCCACTCTCTCACACTAGATATCTCAATTATATACTTTTTTGTTTTAGATCCCTGTATTCTTCCGAATTTGCTTCGCGTGCCGCGCGGTCCGGACGCCATTTTTAAACGCGGGAACCGACCGCCTCTAGAGCTTCGTTCCGTTTCATTTATCAGTTACTTCGTATCACAAGATAACCAATTGACGCGCCTCGCGCCGCGAACACACTATCTAAATTCATTTACACACCTGCCGTCACCCGCGCTCGATCGTCTCGCCGGTGGCGAACCTCGTCCTCTTCGTCCTCTTCCTCGAGGCTCCGCTCGAAGTCTCAACGAGTCCGTTCGAACTATCGCGGGCAGATGCGCGGTGCAACTGCGCGGCGAAGCGGCACGCGCGTGCGCGACCTACAGCGGTTCTCAAACGTTCCAAAAACCACCCCGAGAAGTCCCCACGATTTTTTATACAGAGAGCTATACGCATTCTCGCGCGATTATCGCTTCGACTGGGAACGCGTCGTCTAGACGACTATTCCCCGTATACTTTAGCGCGACGACGACGACGGCGACGGGACGCTTGATTTCGCTGGCGCGACGATTTTTGAACGTGGAAAACGAGCCGCCTCGGTCGATCGGGACTCTAAGACGCTTCTAAACGGACGAGGATGCAACGAACTTTTTTGTCTTTGAAGTAAGAGAGTACGAGAGTTTATAATACAGACGATCCTCCTTCGGTCATCAAGATCGCTTAGAGTACAACCGACGATGCGTGTTTTTTTCTTTTTTCATGTTGAACACTGTTCGGAACGTTCGTTAGTAAAAGTTCAATGAAGATCTCGCGAGCGAACGTATTCAGCTGCTCTGCTACAATGATTCTAGGCTCGGGCGGCTTCGATATTTCGCTCGGTATTCGTCGACGAAAGCGTGTCTGCCTCCGAACAGTGGCAACCGGTTGCTTCGAGGACCACGGATTATTTACAAAGAGTCTTTGCTGCGAGCTCGCTGCGCGTTCGGAGCTCGCCGAATTGCAGAGGAACGGTGGAAGATGAGGAACCGGGGTGCGTTCCCGATCGTTTCTTTCACTCCGTAGGAACAGCGTCGGATCGCGAACGTTCTCCCAGAGGGCCCGATCGAGCGAGGACGAGCAGGGACGTTCACAGCAGCCTCGGTATCGAAGAACGGCAGAGGATAGATCGAGTATTGATAGGCACCTTACAGACTACGTAGTGGAGACTTTAACGTGCACATAGAAACGACGCTCCGCCGAGGGAACGGACCGCGTACGATCCTCCTCCCGAACGCGAACGGGGAGCCAGTTCTCTTCTGATTATTTTTTTTTCTTCGTCCACGAACGAGCGAAAGAAGAGAGGAAAGAGGAAAGTGGAGGAGGGAACAAGGAAGTAAGTACATCGGGGCGCATCGTCTGCCGGACCTTCTCTCGTCCGCGAAACGTAGTCGGTTTTCCTTGGATGGGGGGGGGGGAGGAGTGGAGGTGAGCCCAGAGGATGCGAAACATTGCGCGGGCTAAGATAATTAATTAATTAGTCGTCCGAATTAATTAATTACCCAGACCGCTAAATTCTACGCCTTAAAACTACTATGATTCGGTTTCATCTCACCCGCTGAGGTGGCTGCTCGCCGGCTATCAACATCGGTACTTTGTAATCTACGAGCGGCGAGAGCACCTCGGAGCGCGTCCAGTCCATTTAATCGGGCGCACGGCGTGCTTGCAGACAATTCTCGGCTTCCCTTCAGCTTCCAGCCGTCACGGGGCCACGGGCTAGATCTCGTTAACGCAGGATAGACCTCGGCGCGACTTATTTTTCATGTTCTAAGGACTAATAGAGGATGGGATCGTCTTGGGCGAGCAGCAAGATCGTTTAATTATTTCTTTAATTAGTTCAGAAGAGAAAATGGGATTCCTTGGTGTGCCCCGCGCGATGATCCCGAGGATACATGCCAGCCTCTGCGAGCCTTATTTTTCATCTTCCAGAACGAATAGAGAGCATCAGGAAGATGGGATCTCGTTGGTTGTGCAAGATCCTTTAATTATTTGTTTAATTGCTTCGGGAGGAAGTATAATGTAGACGGAGATAAAGCTGCCTGGGGAAGATGCCGAGAACGCGGGTCAGCTTCGACAAGACTTTTCTTGGTGATCTAAGACGTAGGAAGAGGATAGAGAACCTTGAATGTACATAAATTATTAAACGAGGAACGAAATTTTTAGCTTTTTCCCGTCTGTTGCGATTTAAGAAAAAAGTTCCGATGTTTGGTGGAGGATTCGTTCTTCTTGCACTATGAAGAAAACCTGGTGATCACTTAAAGGCGCATAACGAAGTGAAAGAAACAGCCTTGAAACGGCCAGGAAGTCCGATGCTTCGCGGAAGCAATTTGTAAATCGGTTCTCATTTCTAAGTGTTTGCAGATACTTGAAGAGCCAACTGCGTTTGTACATATCGACTGATCCCCATATTTGAACAATTTTCAGCCGATCTAGGACAGGATAAAGAAGGCAGAATTGTTCGATTTAAAAAGGGAGAAGCCGCCAAGATCTTGGCGTGTCGAAGAATAGGAAAATAGGGGAGGCAGAGAAAGGATCGAGGGTTCCTGCGTCTGGCCACGCGTCCTACTGGAAGCGAAGTGGTCTCGGCTCGGGCGGGTCATGCCCGACCCAGCCGAGGTCGGTGAAGCCGTTTAGAAGTTCTGCTCGCCGTACATCCCCGGGAACCGGACAGCGTGTGCTCCGAGCTCGGCGGGCGAGAACTCGTCCTATGTGGCCAAGTGAGCGAACTGGCCTGGGTGGGGCGCGAACTGGTAAGGGTGGCCGTACGGCGACATGTGGTACGGTACAATGTTCATGCTCGCCATCTTGTGCTCCTTTTTCCACTTCATCCGCCGATTCTGGAACCAGATCTTGATCTGACGTTCCGTCAGGCAGAGGGCGTGCGCGATCTCGATCCGACGCCGCCTCGTCAGGTAGCGGTTGAAGTGGAACTCCTTCTCCAGCTCCAGGGTCTGGTACCTGGTGTACGACGTCCTCTGCCGTTTCGTCTCGCCGTTTGCGTTCACCGTGCCTGAAACCATGATTTCACCGTTAGCACATGGCCCCGTGATGAAGCAGTGAAGTTGTTTTAGAAGACATTTGCTACGAGGACTACCAGCCTTGCGAGGCCACGTCAAGATCAAAGTTACTTTTAAAATCGGATAGACTGTTTAATTAGACTGGATTCTGCTAAAAGTTTGATAGACCGATTTTTTATGTTTCGTTATAAAGTTACACAATTGTTTTTATGGTTTGTGCAGAATTAGAAGGAGCAAGCAAGGTAGTGTCTTAATACACTCCATTACAGCTATCTAATGCTAAGATTTTAGTTTAAATTTCCTTCTCTTTTTTATCTACTTCATGGTTCATTTGATCTCTTCTTCTGCAATTTTTGATATTATAAAAATATCTCCATGATATTATAAAAAAGAATCGTACGAAATTCTAATCTTGTTTTCATAAAACAATACACGATAATTCTAGTGTTAACTAAATCATCCTTAACTCAGTTCTGTATAGTTTCGTGTAGTAATTGGTTCATAATTAGATACTGATCTACGCTACATATAGTTGTCGAGCATTCAAAACATCCTAGTCCAAGATTTTAACTCAAATATCACCACCGTCACTTCATCAGCTTGGATGTTTCCCTCCTGAATCAAATAAATCATCTTCGCGATACATAATTGATTGCAACGTATGACTAGAATCACCTGCAGCAGCTCTATGAATCTAGGATTCTAACTGGTACAGACTTAATGCAATGCAATCTAGACTGATCGTCTCCCACCTTAACTACAAGAACACCTGATCAGCATCTTACCGGCTGCCAAGGAAAGTGACAACATTTCCTGACTATTAGAGCAGGTTACCCTAGGATTATCGACGCGGAGCTGATAACCCGCACGGCCGGTTGTCGAACGTATCAGATGGACATTCCCTCCTGAGTCTGTAACTAGCTCGCACCCAGCCGGAACTCTGTTGAATTGAATTCCATCGGGTAAGCGGTCAATCGCAATCCTCGGAACAATTTAACCTTCTCGTTTTAGCACATTCGACGCGTGTCACCGGATCTATTGGCCGCGTGTCGCAATCGAATCCAATCGAAAAACTCGACCAGTTCCGTTGAATGTCGGGCTGGGCCGATTGTCGAGGCTAACACGCGGCTAATCGGCTCCAGAAGAGGAATTCTACATCGTGATTTCACGATCCGACGTGCCGTTGTATTTCTTCAGCATGCTAATTTGCCTGCATTCGAGCGGGACAATCGAATCGAGAAGATTTTTCGAGCGGCGTAATTTCACTAGAATGTCGGGCTTTCTTCGAGATCTACAGTTTCTTCGAGATCTAAATTTTCCTCGAGATCTTAAAGAGTTTATTTATTTCAATAACTTGCAGTTTCTCGTGTTTTATGTTTCTCTCATAAATAGATTGTAACTGTTCGTGCAAGATAAAAATTGTCTGCGCCAATTCCAAGAAGCAAAAATCAGTTAGAAGTGTGTCTCTTAATTTGGTAATCTTAATAAGTTAACAACAATGTTATCGACGTTCTAAAATTTCTTTAATCTTTCCACTGCTCTGTATTTATTGCACTAATTTCGTTCATAAATGCAGAGAATCTGCAGTCTATTCACAACCTGCACTCACAATATTCCCGGCAATATCTTTACATGAAAAATGTATGAGATACTCTCGAAGATCGTCTCTTTCAAATACGAAAACACTGTTCGAGCCAAGTCCGACGATCTTCGAGAAAACAAATTTCAAAGATCACACATCTATGACCATCTTCCAAGAGTCCCTGGATTCTAATGGGAGAAATTTCAATTTCTACGCAATGAAACCAGAAAAACGACAATGATCAGCGTGGAATAAATAACACGGAGTGTTAGTTGGTCAGTGTCTAAGTTGGCCAGTCCATATCGTGCGCACCCAGGACCCTATCAAAGTGCCCGTACCGGGAGGAAGTGTCCGTCGAGGGTCCAGACTGTCTCCGAGCGGAGGCATAGGTTGTATCGACGTCAGCGGGACACGGATAGCGATTAATCACCAGAAAGGATCCACGATCGAGAGCCGGGCTCGATCCCCTGGACCTCTGTGCGCGTGCCGGCCTAGCTAGGTTCGCGCGTTCGGCTGTCGTATAATAATGAGCCCGGCCGGAAAGAGGAATCCCGGTTACAAAACGGCTAAGTGTGCCGGATAAACGATATGCGGGGACCGCGGTCCGACAGTCCGGGACACTATTTATTAAAAAGTCAAGCCAGCGACGTGCTACATCGGGAGGAAAGCGATAACGCGGCACACGAGCGGTCCCGGTCATTAAGCTTCGCTGGACATCTCTGGAAAGCTCGGAAACGGACAGCCGACCTCGAACGCAGAAATTTTTCGTCTCCTCTATTTTCCTGTTGCTGCGAGCTCGGGGACAATTTCTGGTCAATGCTCTCTGATCGCCTGCGAGGTTCACAGACCCCGAAGTCCGAGGAACTTTAAGGGCAATAATTGTCTTTTAATTTGTACAGGATAACGCAGATTACTGTGCTCTTTGGTTTGGTTTCTGGCACAATTAACTCTATACTTATCGGATAAGATATATTAAAATTTGTTATTGAGAAGTAAACGAAATAAAAGACTATAGTAACTGGTTTCAATATCATAGCGTTTCTTAAATTTAAATAAGAAATTTTTAGCTCTCAGTGTAATCGAAAAGCTGAACAAAGTCTGCGCTTAGCTCAATCAATTTATGTTTGGCGAAATTGTGTTTCAGTGAGCAAGAGAACAGTACATATTCTTCTTTTAAGGAATAATACGATGAAAGATATGTTCTCGATCGAATTTGTTTAGAGCGTTGCGAAGTATCTTCAGCTGGAGCGTCGTTTTATTTTCGACGAGATCGGTCGAAAGTTGTGAAATTGCTTTATTTTTGGAGTATGTAGGTGATACTTCTAATCTAGCTGTCAGAGTGCTGACATCCTGATAGAATAGCCGGCAGATAAGATACGTCACGATCATGAGGAAGCTGCTATGTGCGAGTCTTCTAGGCTGGAGATCATTTTTTAGAATGTTTGTTGTGACACGTTTGGAAAGGAGAAGCAAATGTTGGTACAATATTTCGTTATTTGAAAGCAGCGCTTAGGTTGTAATTTGTTGGATATTTCGATTGCGTTCTTTTTTTCCTTTTTTCTTTAAGATTTCAAAAGGGATAATACGATGAAAGGGGAGAATGGGGAGAGTTCTCGTTTCGGATGGCCGATTGGAACAGGTGTGAGGCGAGACGGCGTCGCGCCTCCAGCGCGATCATAGATCCATGTCAATGCGGATATTAAAGAGTCGGCTCATTTACAGCAATAATGAACACGCTATTAATAGCTGTGCGAGGGTGAGAGCCCGAGCCGCGCTCAGGGACAGCGGCTGCAGAGACTGCAACGGATGCATTCGCGAATGATAAGTTTTCGCAACTGCGAGAAAGTTCGCAACAGTACGCAAGAACATTCTCTAATCTCGTAATTAGATTGTTGATTTTTAGTCAGTTAAACCGTCGGGCACGAATGAAACTGTTACAACTTTCGATTGGTTCTGATGTAACAGCAATCTTTCGACTTTCAATTTTTCTGTTCCAATAAAACAATTATAAAAAATTCGCCGAAACTTTTATTCCACGTATATTTATTCGTGAACACAATAACTTTACTTCTATTTCAACGTGAAACAGGAAAAGAAATAATTCCTATGTTAAAAGTTTACCGAACAACGCGTATTTATAGAAGTTCGCGGTTAAATTAAATCGACGAAACGAAGAGTAGAATAGAACAATTGCACAGACATGATTTACTTCACGAGTCAACTCGCAATAAATTGGCAAAAGTATTTTTCTCGAGTTACTTGGATCGCACGCTTTTCTGTTATCTTGTTCACTGAATATGAAGAATAGCATTTGCCAAAGTAAACAAGCTGCGAAGATGATTAATTTCGCAGGTACTCCAGGTTCGAGTAAACACTTCTTTTCGAATTGATTTGTTTGGAGCGCCGAACCGGGTCTAGGTCAGCACTATCGCAGTCCAATAAATGGCCGACTGAAAGCTTTCCCAGTGACAGAGTTTGATTAATTATCTGCCGCACACTGAATAATCCATGAGCGCTCATTTCGCTGGCTGGAAAACTGTAATTCACCCGCCGGGATAGATAGAATCGTTTAGATAGCGTTGTGTACATTGCCAAGTGGCGTTATTGTCACTCGGTGCGTTCTCGATGGGAAATCGTGCACACAGAGGGATCCATTCCTTCCTCAATTTCAAGAACCGCGCTTAAAAATCCAAGCAAAATCAATTTTCTTCTCGCCGTTTTCTTATTTCAGCGAGTGCAATATTTTAAACCAGATTCCAATGTAAATGTATGCATGTCAAAATGTTGAGAAGACAAGTGAAATAAATTATAAAGGTGCTACAAATTAACTGAACTCTAAATTATGTTAACAATAAATTTGTTCAGTAAACAATACACATATTAATTAACAATAACTCCTTGTTCCTCAGAACGAGGAAAATGTGGCTTATGCGACCATGATTCTAACTCACTGACATCTTAACATTAAGCGTCAAGAAACACACAGCATGTACGCACACAAAGCTCTTTTATAGCATTAAAATTATGTGTTCACCCATGGTGTCGAATTGTGAGGCTAAGTAACCATTTCCAATGAATTCAATTCGTCTCGGTTTTGTTGTCAAAAATTGTGGAACGAATTCCCGAGCGCAGTTTCTGAGATTGTAAATCAAGATCGACAGCAGTATTTGGATCGACCGGCCGCTCGATCCATGGGAGCACAATGCTCGTGGTAGCATTGGCGTGCGATCGGATTATGCAGAACGGATGGTATTTATCCAGCAGGCGATAGAAAGCCCGTTAATAAAGGGAAATTTTACGCAACAATGGCACCCCGGCCGCGACTCGGACCGGGTGATTAAACGATTCGTTTCATTCGTTCGCGATTAATGCGCCTCTTGTCGGCTGAATCCCCGGTTTCGCAAACCGGCG